TTTTGATCATATTTTATGCGTTATTAGAGAGTTATTAATTAATTTTGACAAGCAGTATCCCCGCGTGACCTCAAAAAATTAAACATCGTTCTACAAATAATTATTTTTCTGACTTTACAGGCACCATTTGTGATTCTTTATAATCGAAGAATGTAGAATGGACTTCTAGCAACACACCAATCACAAATTTAATCACATTTGGTTCGTAATTAATAAGTTATTAACAATTTTTGCGCGGGAGTATTCTCCAATCCTATTGCCGTAACGGTTCAGACAAGGACAAGTAGATGGCGCAACAAGGATGGCAATAGTCTGAACGTGCCAATAACTTTGTTTTCTACGGCTCCTAATACTATTCTATCAGAAGGTGTATAAAAGAGAGTTAGTGGCACGGAAAAGGTATTTCTGTCTTTGTCGCACATTCTACCTTTCTCTGTCTTACACACAGTAGGCACTATACCGATAAACATGCCTTCCAAAAATCACTAATAACTCATTAATTATGCATAAAATCTCAACAAAATTGTAATGAGAAGTTAGCTAAGACTTCACTTTACATTCTTTTAACGTAAAGGTGCGTAAATTGTGGTTGCAAAACCAATTAAACAATGGTTTTCAGAGAGCGTATTTAACTCTTTAATGTTATGTCGGAACATTGCATCCAAAATTTATTAATAACTCTGTTTAGCATAACAATTTATACACTTTTGTGATTGAAGAATCTAGAGTGGACTTCTGGCGACTTTCACGATACGTTTTGGATCACAATTTGTTCGTCGTTAGGTATTTATTAACATTTTTCAAAATAACCGTTACGATGTATTTTCAAATAATTTGACATTGCCTCAGAGAATAATTAATTTTGCCGTTTTACAAACACAATTTATGCATCTTTGTATCCAAAGAATCTAGAGTGAAGTCTCAGCTAAATTCCTGTTATAATTTTGTAAAGATCCGACGCATAATTAATGGGTTATTAACAATTTTTGGAAGGCATGTTTATCGGTATAGTGCCTACTGTGTGTAAGACAGAGAAAGGTAGAATGTGCGACAAAGACAGAAATACCTTTTCCGTGCCACTAACTCTCTTTTATACACCTTCTGATAGAATAGTATCAGGAGCCGTAGGAAACATAGTTATTGGCACGTTCAGACTATTGCCATCCTTGTTGCGCCATCTACCTGTCCTTGTCTGAACCGTTACGGCGATAGGANCCTTCTGATAGAATAGTATCAGGAGCCGTAGGAAACAAAGTTATTGGCACGTTCAGACTATTGCCATCCTTGTTGCGCCATCTACCTGTCCTTGTCTGAACCGTTACGGCGATAGGATTGGAGAATACTCCCGCGCAAAAATTGTTAATAACTTATTAATTATGGACCAAATGTGATTAAATTTGTGATTGGTGTGTTGCTAGAAGTCCATTCTACATTCTTCGATTATAAAGAATCACAAATGGTGCCTGTAAAGTCAGAAAAATAATTATTTGTAGAACGATGTTTAATTTTTTGAGGTCACGCGGGGATACTGCTTGTCAAAATTAATTAATAACTCTCTAATAACGCATAAAATATGATCAAAAACTATATGT